GGGAAAGCACCATGTTTCACATTTGCTACCCCTTTAAAATTTTATTTTATTTTACTACCACCGAAACACACTAACTTTCATAATCACTACCACTTAACGGAATCCGTTAGATTTCCGTTAAGTTTATTAAAAACAAATTAAAAAATTAAGAAAAAAACATAAATTAAAATAATAAATAAATAAATATAAAATGAAAAAACCACCCAAAAAACCCTAGCCCTCCCCGTCATCCACCCTCCCCCCTCCCCCTGCCGGCGGCCAGCGCCCAAACTTGCGGCCGGTGCCGGCAATTCGGGTCGGAATCGGACCCCTCCCCTTCCCCACCCAAAACTGACAATCCTAAACCTAATCCCCCTGCCCGAAACCACCCTAAATGAGTTTTAGGGTTTCGGGCAGGGTGGTTTTTGGTGACAGGGAAATCCTTCGTCGCGGCCAGAATAGGGAACGGGGGACGAGGAGGGGCTGGATCGGGTTTCATGGGGAGAGGGGCTGGGATCGACGGGGGTTTCGAGGGGAGAGGGGCTAGGATCGACGGTGGTTTCGAGGGGAGAAAGGGGCTGGGATCGACGGGGGTAGGGGAGAGAGGGGCTGGGATCGACGGAGGTTTTTGAGGGGAGAGGGGCTGAGATTGAGGTGGGTTTCGAGGGGAGAGAGGGGCAGATCGGGTTTTCGAGGGGCTGGGAATGCGACGCCGGCGCCGACAATCAGGGTGGTCGGAGTCGCGGGCAGCACGGGATTAGGCTCAGGCGACTATGGCAGTGACTTGGTGGTTGGGCTGCACGGTGAGTGGTGGTTACAGCAGATTGGCAACTGGTGGGTGGGAAGGAGTGGTGGCTGGACGGTGGTTGGGTGGTGGTAACGGAAATACTAACGGTGTAAGTCAAGTGGTAGTGATTATAATAGTTAGTGTGTTTGGGTGGTAGTAATATAAAATAAAAAATTAAAGGGGTAGCAAATGTGAAAAAGGGTCCTTTTGCTTGTAGCAAATGTGAAATTTTCCTTATCATTTTATCATTTCGTCATTTCTAACTTTGTTAGATTGAAAACAGTATTTAACAAAGTGATTAATACACATCCATTGTACACAAGGCTTTGTCATTTCAATAAAGTACTATACTGTTTACTACAGAAGGAGGAAGTATAAATGTAGTGTTGTGAGACAAACTAAATTGTCTCACAACATAAAAAAATTATAACAAATGTACTAGGAAGAGTGAGAAAGGAATAGAGAGAGTGAAAAAAGGGGTAGAAGGGGGCCCACCTTTTTATCAGAAAGGTTTCACGTGCAAAAAAAAGACAAAAAACAATTGAGATTACAACTATTGAGATTATATTTTGTACCACTGAGCATTTTTATAGGTACCACTGAAATTGAATTGTGTATCACTGAGAGTGTAATTTGTACTAGTGAATCTTTAATGGTATTATTTAACAGTCTAATGAGACATTTGAACCATTTTTGATATACCATTGAAATTTTATTTCGTACCACTAGTAGTGTATTTTGTACCACTAAATCTACAAAGACAAAATTTAAATCCCACATAAAATGACCAACATGCCCCTGTGAGACACTTCTATATGTCTCTCAACTCTCCGTTTGGAATGCCTCCTATGGAAGCCCAACTAATAAGTTTCTACTGTTTCTGTGCGTTCTTTAAGTCTGTGTGTACTATATAGGTCAATATTGTGGAATCTACTTTGCATAAAAATCCCATAACGATTTGGGCAGCCAATCTATTTGGTGGCATGCTTTTTAAAAATATTAAATGGGACTAGGGGTGAGCGTAGCATGGTACCCTGTAAAAATCTTAAGACCCGGAACCAGAATCTGTTACAACAGATTCCTAAAAATAGGACTCGATCGAAATCGGAACATGTTCAACTAACAGGTTCCTAAAAATTTGGAACCGTGTAGGTTCCGGTTCCAAAACAGGATACCCTGTCTTTCAAAGTAAGCTTAATACTTACTTGTTAGTCTAGAATATTTAATACTCCGTACAAAATTACAAATACTAATATTAATACCATTAATTAAACCTTTAATAGTAAGATTTAAAATGAATAAGGGGGAGAGGAGTAGGTCAAGTCTTATATAATTTTAATATAGGGCTTTTATAATTCCGCTGAAATTATGGAGTCTGGTTTCATGTACCCTATAGAGAACCTATACTAACAAGGTACCCTACAGGTTCCGAGTCAAAAATTTTACTACCCGGAACCTGAACATGTTGCAACATGTTCCCAATTTTATTACCCGGAACTAGAACCTATAGAGCAGGTTCCGAACAGGTTCCGATTCCAGGTCAGGGTACCCTAAATTTTTGCTCACCCCTAAATGGGACAAAAAAAAATAAAAAAACTTGGCCAACATTGCTTCTTTTTTTTTTTATTATTATTATTTTTATCAACGCTAAGGAATCCAGGAGATGTATCTCCCCCTAAATGATGGGAGTTTGATTCATCATTCCCTCATTCATGCCATAGATTGGGAGTCCCTTTCCTATATCTTCTTAGAACAAATTTAGCCCCAAGTCTTAAGGTTTGGAGTGACATTATCATCTTGAGTCTTAACACTTATGTTTAACACTTTTCCTATTTTTCTTCTTAAATCTTAAGCAAGTCTTAAATTGAGTCTTGAAATTTCAAGACTCAATTTAAGACTTGAGATTGGGACCCACTTCACTTTTTAAAAAAAAAAATATTATTATTTTTTTTTTACATTTTTTTACATATAATATGTCATATATTTGAGTCTTAGGGCTAAAGTGATAAATTTGTGCAAGTCTTAGTGAGTTTTAACAAGAATTTGATGACATTATTTTCAATGGGAACCACAAAAAATGATGTCACATACAAATCTTAAAATTTGGGGCTAAACTTGCTCTAAACGTTTAAAAAAAAAAAAATCTCAACATGACCATTAAAGAAGTTAAAAATTACCATTCCTTCAAAAAAAAATTAAAAAAAAATTAAAAATTACTATTATTCAGTTAGACGTTAGACCTTTTACTATCCTTAACTAATAGGTCTTTAGTTCTTTACTGTATGTATCAAAACAGGAGTACTATATAAATAAAATAGGGAAAAAAAAAAGGTAGATGGAAGACAGGGAGGTTAACAAAAGGATAAACAACATTATATTTTCTTTGTATAAAAACAACACTCAGCCATGTTCGTCTGAGATTATTATTACATAGAACAAAATTTATAAGCAGATGTAAAGTTGGGAGATACAACATCAATCCATCTTTAGTTCTTTACCCAGTGACAATAAGAACAATAGTAGTACCTCCGGTCCAAATTACTCGCAACTTTGAAAAAGTATTAATTTTTTAAAAAAATAATACTCCGTAGTATTGTGGTGGAAAATTTTGTGAATAAATTAAGATATTCTAATTCACAGAACCACAAGTTTTTCTAATCTCTCCATGGTGGCCAGTAAGGACTCCAATTCTAGCCACCTTGACCATCGCGGGACCGAATTCGTTCAAAAATTGATAGGGACTTTTGGCTAGCCCCTTTACAATGCCTTTAGTTAGAGGACTTATAGCCATGTTTTGGTCAATCTCTAGAGTGCCATTGTGTGCTACTATTTGCTTGTAATAGGCATTGTCCATCTTGAAATGACTGTTTGGGGTTTGGTCAAGGAATGCCTCCTCGTCGCTTTGACTATTAAGAGGACATGTGTTTCGCAAGACTTCGAGAAGTGATGAACTTATGGTTGGATCTGGTTTATGGGTACCATGGAAGTTGTACAAACGTTTTTTAAATGAGTGACAATGTGTAGTTCCAGCACTATGTCCACCTGTAATTTTATAACGATAAAAGATAATTATTTATACTTAGGTTTTTTGTGAAAAACTACCTTTTATATACAAATTTTTTGTGAAAAACTACCTTTTAAAATAATTGTTGTAAATGACTACCTGTTTTTAAAAAAATGTTGTAAAGGACTACCATTTGCCGAAATATGGCCATTGACTCCTTTTTTCAGTGTTGACCACCCCATGTGGCGGCCTTTTCTCGTTTTCGACCACCCTCACCCCTTCTCCTCCTCCATTTTCTAGTTTTCGAGCACCCTTACCCCCTCGCCGTCACCTTCCCCTCCTTTGTCCAATTTCCGACCACCCCTACACATTTTCGACTGCCGCGCATGCTGCCCCTCCGCCTCCCTTTTCCATTTTCCGACCATCCCCCACCCCCTGCAGCGCTCCTTTCCCCTAGCCCTCCTTAACCCTTCTTGCAGCCCTAGCCTCAAACAAATTATCAATTTCCGGCCACTCCCCTCCTTACCCCCACTTCCATTGAATCCGACAACCCTTTCCTTGCCAATCCCCTTCAATTTACTGCTCATCATTCCCCCGAACACCTCGAAACCCTTCCCCTTTCCCTCGATTCTTGATTTCCGACCAACCCCTCAAATCAATTTTCAGTCAAATTTCATCTTACCCACGCATCAAAAACCCTCGAAATCCCGCCCACCCTCCTTCTTCGACCCCCTCAAAAATAAACCAAATCGCCCTTCCTTTTCTTTCCTCAATTGAGGAGTTATGATGTTGTTATTTGAGGGTCGTGGAATTACGGAGCGATTGAGGGCTTGTGTTGGATTCGACGGGGTAGAGGTCGTTTCAAGTAGGGTGGGGTTGGTTTTGGGATGCGTGGGGGCGGTTGTAAGGGAGTTTCGAGGTGGGTTGAGGTGTTGTGGTGGTGGGGCGGTGGTTAAGATGGCGGCAATGTTGGTGGTGCATGCATAGAAAAAAAAAATTTAAAGGTCATGTGACCGGCACGTGGGTGGTCAACGCCGAAAAGGTAGTCAACGGCCATATTCCGGCAAGTGGTAGTCATTTACAACAATTTTTTTAAAAGGTAGTTTTTCACAAAAAGTTGTATATAAAAGGTAGTTTTTCACAAAAAAATCCTTATACTTATTAAATACGATTAGCTTATTAAGGTACCTAAGACAATATAATAATGTACGTATATAGATAAATACCTAGAAGCACAACAAAGTCACGCTTATTAAGCCCTTTTTTAGCAAACAATTGAATGGCTTTGCGAACTGGAATTGTTGGAGGTGGAAGGATTGCTTCTGCTTCTTTGCTTAAAGATACACGTCCATCTCTTCTTCCAGTTTCTACTTCATACCATTTTCCTCCACCCTACACATTACATATATAATAATCATATAATAATCACACAAACAATCACTTAATTACATTAATTAACTTTATAAGTAGTTGTACTTCAAAAGTGGGAAAATAAGATAATAAAAACCAAATACGTGACAATAAAACTAACTTACTAAGAAAACAGCAGCTCTAGCAGCTATAACTAGAACATCTGTACAAGAGACAACTCCTGGGCAAACTTTCTCCACGACCTTCTTTATTTCACCAACATCCTCAATTCCACCAAGACGTTTATTTACTCGTGCCATTTGCTCAGTATGTTTTCCCTCGAGCAAAATCGATGCATCACAACCCTTTTTCAATCAAATTAATTTTTAGCACAACATCAAAAATTTGTATATGCATGAGTTTAATTAAATTGACAAACAAAATAATTGATACAATTTAATTTGGCCACTAATGCACATACCCTAACAAAGCAGTCATGGAATGATAGACGAATAAGATCAGACACAATATCAGGATCTTCCCTAATCTTCTGTTGAACAACTTTAAATATGAATTCCTCGATATTGTGTGCTCCACACTTCCCATTGTAAAACCCAACCTTTAGCTTATCATTTCCATAACATTGACCAACGAGGGTCATTAGGATGAGCCTTAAGAGGAAGCATCAAAGAGGACGAAGTGAGCCTCATTTTTATTTTATTTTTTCCTTATTTTTATTTACTATCTTAAGTATGTTTTACAAGGTAGGTATTTATAATGAAGCCAAAGCTTTAATCTTCTAAGGAATATGGCCATCTAGGGCTGCTGGACGTAAAGAATCTTGAAGTGGCTGGACTTATAATTTGCATGGTCTTATTCTTGATATATTTTAATCTTAGACAAGGTTGTATTCTAGTATCATATGAAGTATATTGTTATAATCAGTGGCGGACCCAGGAATTTCCGACTGGTGAGTCACAATTGATAACCAAATATGTAAAAAGAAAAAATTTACCAAAATTCCCAAGAAAAATTATTTACAAAGATCATCCAAATAGAAAATTGACAAGATTACAGTACTAACTAATAATTAACAAGCTTAAAATTGACAAGACTAAAATTAACAAACTAATAATTAACAAGCTAATAATTGACAACATGACAAGCTTAGCTCTCTAATAATTAACAAACTAATAATTGACAAGATTAAAATTTGTACAAGCATTAGGTTCACATTTCATCAAAAACCCAACAACATTAACAAAAGGTTCAAAGTTAGTATTTTTTTTTTTAAAAAAAAACTTAGAAAATAATTTTTTTTTTTATTTTTTTTTTTAAAAACTTAAAAAATATTTTGGGCCCTGGTGAGTCATTTGACCCACCAGGCATAAGGCCAAGTCCGCCAATGGTTATAATTATGTTGGACCGACGTGAACAAATACATAGCTAGGTTGATTCGATTATATTAACTAACAAAAGATTAAAGCTAATAAGTGCTTCTTTGTTAACAGCTTTACATTCGTATTTTCTACAGCAGTATTATTTTACTGAGTCAATTGTTCTTATTATCGATTAAACTTGGATTAGGCACATGCATTAGCTGTAATCATAATGCATTATTATATGCTAATATTGTTCATAACTTAGCCATCATATATGATAGATTAAATATTTTAGTGATACGATCGAATGTGGGTTGAGGAAAGAGGAGCGTAAAAAATGAGTTAATATTTTGGAGCAAATCTAATTTGGATTCCTCGAATTAAAAAAGGGTAATGTTATATGTAGCCCTAAGGACTACTAGTATATATAAGCATTAAATATACTTTTGGAAATTGTATAAAATTAGAAATTTATGACAAAAACACGCGTAAATCAGTGTTATTGGTGTTTATATTTTGATGATTTAACAAAAAAAAAAAAAAATAGGGTGAAACTTCAAAACCCACAATCTCAGATCTCCCAATACTCACTTATATAAAAAATTAATAATATAGCTTAATATTCAATACAATTAAATTCATCTTTGCATTTAATTTTAATAAACTTTCATGACATTCAAAATGATACAGTAGTATACTCCATATTAGGTGTAATTTATTTATTTATTTATTTTATTTATTTATTTTTACCGGCATATTAGGTCTAAAATTTGTCAAACAATTGACACAACTAGAATCCGGGAAAATAAACGACGGTTTTTCTACGACAGCTAGCAAAACTGTCGTAATTTTTTTATTCTACGATGGTCTTAGTAGCTGTCGTAATATTACAATGGATTTTGTTAACTATCGTTGATTTACGACGGTTTTTGGACAATAAAACTATCGCAACGGACATTAAAAAAATTAATTAAAATTTTAATATTTGCGACAGCCATAAACTGTCGCAAATTACGACGGTTTAAAGTTGTCGTAAGCTTTTTTTTTTTGCAACAACATTAAAAATTGTCATTGAAATTAATTAGTAAAATTGTCGTAATTATTTTTTGCGACAGTTAAATTGTCTTTGAAATTTTACGACTCATTTGATTACGACAAACCCATTGTGACAGTTGGCCGTCGTAACCAATTTTTGCGACGGTTTAATTCATTTTAGCGACAAATTTTGGTTGTTGCAAAATTGCTAATTTCTTGTAGTGTGAGTTTCATTTGGAGCAAAGTTATATATTTCCTCTGTTCTTTTTTAATTGCAGTATGAGTGATTTCATTCTTGCCAATATATTACTTTGGCTATTAATATTTATAATTATCATTTTAAAATTGATATTTTAAAAATAGATTTCGAGACGAATATAACTAGATCACATATGAGTTATTGTTTTTTACGGATAAATCACAAAAAATGGCCAAAGAAAATTAGGTAAATATTTTAAAACAGTAAAAGTCCTTATGGTAGGTGCAATCATTTTCTCCATTTTTGTCTTTTTATTTATTAATTTTTTTTCTTCTAATTATACGAAAAATGTTCTTTTTAAAAAACTTTAAACCATTTATTTTCTTTCCTTTTTTTTGGAAATGTGAAGGAAGATGATCGTTGCTCTTCTCATTGAATGGCTGAGAGTATAAATATAAAATATTGCGAGATAAACTCGGCAACTACTAAGCTACAATCTAGGCTATGATTAGGCTAGGATATATACACTTGCTAAGTTAGTTATTTACTAAGTCAAAGAATATATTTGCAATATATTCTAACACTCCCCCGCAGTCGTAGCGGGAGCATCACGGATGCTATGACTGGTACGAAAATCATCAAACAAAACCCGTGGAAGAACCTTCGTAAAAATATCTGCAATTTGATAACGGGAAGGAACATGTAGTACCCGTACCTCGCCCTTAGCGACCTTTTCTCGTACAAAATGAATGTCCATCTCAATATGTTTTGTACGTTGATGTTGTACTGGATTATCGGAGAGGTAGATGACACTCACATTGTCACAGTAAACAATAGTTGCTTTACGAATAGGAAAATAAAGATTAAGCAACAAATTTCTGATCCAACAAGAATCGAACACAACATTAGCAACCCCGCGATATTCGGCCTCAGCACTTGACTTGGATAATGTAGGTTGCCGTTTAGAAGACCAGGAAATCAAATTGTCACCTAAAAACATACAATAACCTGAAGTAGATCGCCTGGTGTCGGGGCATCCCCCCCAATTCGCATCAGTATAAGCAACAAGTGTGTTAATAGATGACTTATACAGATGCAAGCCAAAGGATAAAGTGCCCTGTAAATAGCGTATAATACGCTTTAGAGCAGCCATATGCGCATTGCGCAGATCATGCATGTGAAGACACACCTGTTGAACTGCATAAGAAATGTCAGGTCTGGTAAAAGTCAGATATTGAAGAGCACCTGCAAGACTCCTGTTCTTAGTAGGATCTTCATATGGAGCATCATGAGAAGCACTAAGCTTAGATTTTGTGTCAACAAGAGTGGGACAAGGACTACAGTTAGACATGCCTGCCTTGTCAATGATAGAAGAAGCAAACTGTTTCTGAGACAAAACATACCATTAGCATCACGAGTCACAGCAATGCCCAAAACGAAACTCAAAGGACCTAAATCCTTCATAGCAAATTCGGAGGACAATAGATCCATAATACGTGTCCGCAGACGGTCAGAGGATGCGGTAAGAATGATATCATCAACATATAACAGAATATACGCAGTATCAGATCCCTGCCTAAAAATAAACAGAGAAGTGTCAGATTTACTGTTAGCAAATCCAATGGAGGTGACAAAATCTACAAAACGCTGATACCAAGCCCGAGGAGCCTGTTTGAGACCATAGAGAGAACCTCGTAACAAACACACATGATCAGGGCGACTCTTGTCACGAAAACCCATGGGCTGATGCATATAAACTGTTTCATTGAGCTTACCATGCAGGAAAGCATTCTTGACATCCAACTGATAGATCGGCTAAGAGTGAGAAATAGCAATGCTAAGAATAGTACGAATAGTAGCCGGTTTTACAATCGGACTAAATGTCTCATCACAATCAATACCCTGCTGTTGAGTCTTACCATCAGCCACAAGACGAGCCTTATACCGCTCAAAAGAACCATCAGAATTTCGTTTATGACGAAAAATCCACATAGAGCGAATCACATTCATATTAGGAGGCCGAGGGACCAAATCCCAAGTATGATTGTCAATTAGAGCATTATATTCATCTAACATTGCATTTTTCCAATTAAGGTCACGAATAGCACTAATTGGGTCCTTTGGTATAGGAGAGATAGAGGTAGTGGTCATTGTGTTTAGATTGGAAAAATATTTGGGGTTAGGTTTGACAATGCCGTCTTTAGCTCTTGTGGTCATTTGATGGGTTGTGGGGATAGGTGAGGGAGGGGCGGTTAAACCGCTGCTAGTGGCAGGCACGGTGGTGCTGGTGGCAGTCACGGTGGTGCTGGTGGCAGTCACGGTGGTGCTGGCAGGGGAGGGGGAGGGGTGGTCCGTACCTCGTGAGGAAGTAGGGACTGGGCTGTCAAAAGGAGGGTGCAGGATTAGTGTATGTTGGGCTGTATTTCGTTGGGAGTCCAACTGCGGATTTGTGACAGTAGGGGGAGGAGTTAGGCTGAAGGTAAAATTCGGTCTAGAAGAGGAAGAAGAGGAGTGCTTCCCATTTTGAGGATTAGGTGGAGTGGGCTGGGCTTGGGAAGGAGAAGTATGCGGTTGAGTGGTGCACAAATGGGGTGGATGATTTAATGAATTAAAATCCAAAAAATCGTAATCATCATAAGTCGGTTTGTGATATTTTGAGAACGGAAATTCGTTTTCGATAAATCTCACATGCCTACAAATAATGATTTTTCCATTTGATAAATTATAGCACTTCGAACCACGATGATTTGGCGCAGGGCCAAGATAGATACAAGGAGTGGACCGTTCTTGCAATTTGTTAATGGAAGTGGAGGGAAAAAGAGGAAAACATAAGCATCCAAAGACTCGTAAAGCCGAATAAATCGGATCATGCTGGTATAAAATTTGTGTAGGAGATTTATAACCTAAGACTTTGGAGGGTAAAATGTTAGGGAGGTAAGTAGCCATGGCTAGGGCATGATGCCAAAAGGAATGTGGCAAGGATGCATGAGCAAGAAGGGTCCGAATAATGTTATTAATTGATTTTATATGGCATTCAGCTTTTCCATTTTGAGGAGAGGTGTGGGGAAAAGAAAGATGATAAAGCATGCCTTGGTTCTCAAAAAATTGTTTAAGAGTGCCATTAACATACTCAGTGCCATTATCACATTAAAAAGTCTTAATGTTACGTTCAAATTGAGTTTGGACTATCTTATGAAAAGATTGCAAAATGTGTTTAACTTGTGATTTCTTAGAAATAGGATAAGTCCATAAGAATTTGATGTAATCATCAAGTAATAATAGATAATAGCAATGGCCAGAAGAACTAATAATAGGAGAAGTCCAAAGGTCACTATGAATAATATCAAAAGGAAAAGCAGTGTGCGACATAGAGTCATTAAAAGGAAGTTTTACGTGTTTCCCTAAAGGACACGAAGCCCAAAAAGAATTACAAGCCTTATTACATTCAATTAAATTTTGATTGCTTAAAGATCTAAGAACGACGTCGCCAGGGTGTCCTAATCGATTATGCCAAAGATCGGAAGAAAGAGAAGTAAAATTTGAATGTGTTACTGGAGAGTTGGCTTGACTGGAGGGAAAGAGTGGATATAGGTCACCGGTACTGTCACATCTCATTAGTTGGGCTCCCGTCTGTAAATCATTCGCATAAAACCCATAAGGATCAAAAGAAATAGAAACCATATTGTCAGTGGTGAATTTACGGACGGATATCAAGTTCTTTATTATTTTGGGAGCATGCAAAACACGGTTAAGGGTAAGGGAGGGTACGGTGAGGGCAAAGTAGCACTACCATGACCAATAATTGGAACTAAATCATTACTACCAACAACAATATTATGATTTTTAATGCTCGAATTGACATAAGTGGAGAGAATACCTTGGTCGGCCGTCATATGAGATGTTGCACCAGTGTCCATATAATAATTCGGATCCGGTCGGTTGAGGTTAGCTAGCATTTGCATTGCGGCTTCAATGTGTGTAGGCGTCGGGTTCGGACCCATGTCAACAGCAGAGTGTGCTTGTGGAGATGGACCCAAGATACCAGGCCCATTAGACCGTGACCCAGTTGAAGAAGCAGCAGTCCGAGGTGCCCACGACTGTGCTGGATACGGGAAAGGAGGACTTGGCCATTGGGCCTGCCACGGAGCCCAAGAAGCTGCCATGAATATTGGCCTTGCTGAAAAATCCAAGGGTGGCCATTGGATGGACTTGACTGCTGGGCTGGCCCACCAGAGTTACGAGCAGGCTTAATAGAATTCTTGGAATTCTTTTTGTGCTGCTTGTTAGTCTTGTTGTTGCGAGAAGCAGAGGACTCCGATTGGTTGCCACCGGTGGTAGAGACGAGGGCAGTGGGTGCACAGCCATTGGAACCACCTTCCTTAGCTAAGCGATTTTTGATAGTACGCTCAGCTAATTTAAGACGAGACCGGCATGATTCAAAAGAGGGCAAGGGTTCTTGATTTTGGATGAAGTCCACCGTTCCGGCGTATGCTTCGGGTAGTCCGGCAGTCAGTTTAATAATAAGACGGGTATCGGGAATCGGAGCATCAACATCCGCGATCAGCGAGGGATTTGATGTGATTGCAATAGCCATCAATAGAGGAAAAATTCTCGAAATCAAGGTCAGCAAGTTCTTGTTCGAGATGAGAAGCCCGAGATGCTTTGTTATCTTGAAACATAGACTCGAGACGAGCCCAAGCACCTTGAGCGGTGTCATCCTTGAGATGGATAGCGGTGAGATGGTCATGAGAAATTGAATCGTAAATCCAATTAAGGATTGCGGCATCAAGGCGTTTCTAATAGGCTAAGCCTGCCGATTTGGATTTCTCATAAGCAGCGAGTTCCGTCGCTTCGGTTGGAGGTATGATGTGATTTGTAAGGTCGTGAACCCTACAAAGCACCTTGAAGAGGGCGGCCCAAGAATGATACATTCCAGCGGCTTCCAAGGTAATCGGAATAAGCGATTTGACATTTGTGATAGCAAACGCAGGGTGATATTTTGGAGTCTCTGCCATGGAATGTTGCAGCGGAAGTAGAAAGGGAAAAAAATGAAGAAGAAGAGGTTGGGCCGAGAGTAAGAGGGAAGAGGAAAGCTAGGATCGAAAACTCAATCTGATACCATGAAGGAAGATGATCGTTGCTCTTCTCATTGAATGGCTGAGAGTATAAATATACAATATTGCGAGATAAACTCGGCAACTACTAAGCTACAATCTAGGCTATGATTAGGCTAGGATATATACACTTGCTAAGTTAGTTATTTACTAAGTCAAAGAATATATTTGCAATATATTCTAACAAAATAAATGCAATTAATTTTTTTAATGGATACAGAAAATATTACAACCTACAAGTTATGATCTCTCCAATTTTAAAGTATTCATCAATTCAAAGAATCATGCATGATTGTGTTAGCAACTTCAAGAGAAAAAACAACGTGAATTGTCCTACCTAATAAAAACGAGTATGATAGGTCTAATAAAGAACACTATGTATATTTTGTACGTACTGTGTATATAAAAATGCCAAAAAGATTTGGACAATTAATTTTTGGTGGCATGCTGACTAATTTAAGTACGTATATTAATCATATACACGTATCGAAAGTAACTGGACGACTGGATGACGATTCTACTTAATTAAAACATGTCATCGAGCCAATGTGAGTTAATTACTATAAAACAATAACGTTTGATCATAAGAAGTCATTCAGAGATAGTTTAAATGATCAATGTGAGTTAATTACTATAAAACAATAAAGTTTGATAATTTGGAAGGGAAGTCAACAAGAGTAAAATACAACAATTTATTTTTATCTGTATATAAGCATCCCTCGGGAGGATTTTCCTGAGTTTATTATCACGTATAAGAAGTTTTAACATAAAAATGATGCAAAGATGGAAATAACAAAATCAATTCATCTTTATCCAATGACAAAAATAGTGATAGTGTAAATAATTTGTAGTGTTGTGGTTGAAATCTTGTCCAATAATTGAGATACACTAATTCACGGAACCACAAGTTTTTCTGATCTCTCCGTGATGGCCCGTTAGGACTCCGATTCTAGCCATCTTGACCATGGCCGGACCGAACTCGTTCAAAAATTGATAGGGACTTTTGGCAAGCCCCTTCACAATGCCTTTAGTTAGAGGACTTATAGCCATGTTTTGGTCAATCTCTAGGGTGCCATTGTGTGCTACTATTTGCTTGTAATAGGCATTGTCCATCTTGAAATGACTGTTTGGGGTTTGGTCAAGGAATGCCTCATTGTCGCTTTGACTATTGAGAGGACATGTGTTTCGCAAGACTTTGAGAAGCGATGAACTTATGGTTGGGTCTGGTTTGTGGGTACCATGGAAGTTATATAGACGTTTTTTAAATGAGTGACAGTGTGCAGTTCCAGCAGTATGTCCACCTGTAAATTTGTAAGTAATTAATTTAGATTTAGCAAATAATTATGAGCGATTAATAGATAAGTTATTATTTATATGTGACTATTGGAATTTACTTTGCATAAATTTGCTTAAGAAAATGTAGTCGTTAATAAATACCTAAGAGAACAACAAAGTCACGCTTATTAAGCCCTTTTTTGGCAAACAATTGAATGGCTTTATTCACAGGAATTGTTGGAGGAGGAAGGATTGCTTCTGCTTCTTTGCTTAAAGATACACGTCCATCTCTTCTTCCGGTTTCTACGTCATACCATTTTCCTCCGGCCTTCAAATATTACATAAATAACAATCGCACATACATAATTAGTTAATTGTAATAACTAGCGTAATATGTAGGGTTGTTTTTTTTGAAAGTGAAAAATATAAAAGAATTTACTTACCAAGAAAACAGCAGCTCTTGCTGCTATAACAAGGACATCAGTACAAGAGACAACTCCTGGACAAACTTTTTCTACCACCTCCTTAATTTCACCAACATCCTCAATTCCGCCAAGTTTTTTGTTTACTCGTGCCATTTGCTCTGTATGTTTTCCCTCGAGCAAAATTGATGCATCACAACCCTTTTTCAATCAAATAATTTAATTAGCATAGATTTTTTTTTTTTTTAAAATGTTTTTAAAAAAATAATAATCATGAAATTCTTTCAATTTAAATTAGTCAAATACATACCCTAACAAAGCAGTCATGAAATGATAGACGAATAAGATCAGATACAATATCGGGATCCTCCCTGATCTTCTGCTGAACTACTCCATAGATGACTTTCTCGATATTGTGTGATCCACACTTGCCATTGTAAAACCCAACTCTTAGCTTATTGTTTCCATAACAATGACCAACAAGGGTCATTAGGATGAGCCCAAGAGAAAGCATCAAAGAAGGCGAAGCAAGCTTCATTATTATTATTTAATTATTTTCCCCTAATTACTATATGTTTTATTATAAGTGTGTTTAGCAAGGTTTGCTAAAATGTCTTATTTATAGTGAAGCCAAAGCTTAAACCTTCGGAAGAATATGGGGCATCTAGGGCTGTTGGACGTAAAGAATCTTGTCAGCTGTATGTGCTTATAATATTCACGTTCTTATTATTTGGTTAATTTTAATCTTAAACGGTTGTTGTATTATTATTATTATTGCTAAAATTGGACCGACGGGATAATAATCCTAGCTTGATTTGGTTAGAGTGACAAAGAAATGCTTCATTAGTATGATTGATTAATCCCCAGAAGAAACCTGCTTTCGGTTAAATTTGGATTATGCACATGCATTTGCAATAATTGCAATGTTGTACCACGTAAATTATTTGTTTTTTTTTGGTTTTTTTTTAAAAAATAAATAAATAAATAATGTATGATATATTATTATATGTTTAATTTGTTCAAACATAGCCATCTTATATAACTGATCAATTATTTGCTAATAATAATTTGTGTCTAATGGAGAAAGGAATGATTAAAAGTTTTGAGACATTGACCAACTATATAACACCTCCCCCTTAACCAAACAAGAAAACAAGGGTTTTAAATTATTGGGCACTCACAGTAAGTTAATAAACAACAAAGGACCCGCATTGTTAAAACGGTTTGACAGTTCGGTTTCGGTTCGGTTTGAAATCGGTTCGGTATTTAATCGGGTCGGTTTGGAATCGGTTTAATTGTCTCACGGGTCGGTTTTGGTTCAGTTTAAATAGTTATCGGTTCGATTCGGTTTCGGTTTATTCTTAAGCGGTTTTAATTCGGTTCGGGTTGTAAACAGTCCGGGTAGTAAACGGTTCGATGCAGACGGGTTGCGGATTGTTAACGGTAAAATGTAAACGGTTTTTATCCCGGTTCAAACAGTTTCGGGTTAGAAACAGTTCGTTTCTTTTTTTGTTCAGTTTATAATTGGTTCGGTTCCTTTTCGGTTCAGTTTTTAACTGGTTCGGTTCTTTTTCGGTTCATTTTATAACTGGTTCAGTTCTTCGATGGTTTAAACACTTTAACGTTATTCATATCGGTTCCATTTCAAGTTTACTAAATTACGGTTCGGGTCGGTTTTCGGTTTCAAAAGATAAATTGTTTATCGAGTTGTTTGGATTCGAGCAGTTAAATGGTTTTGGTTTCAAATTTGATAGTACTTGCTAACCTTTTGCGTTCACAAGTTTTATATAAAGTCCTGAATCATTTCATATTTACTTATTTAGGCATCATATTATAAACAAATTCTCATTGATATTATAAATACATATTATGTTCTGTTTCAAGTTTAGTCATACCGATCTTACTAGTTTATTACGAAGTAGATTATAAGAGTTAGTGTATTAATGTATTATTGTTTTACAATTAGGTTATTATATGCTTCTTATTTAATCATTTATATACTATGCATAGTATCATAATCATGATTTGATGAGTTCTTGTGAAATGGAAATTTGCAATTTGGTAATTCGATACTTGATTAGTCAATAAGACTGATAATTATGACTCGTTTATCATTATATATTTTCATAAAATTATGAAGATATTACAAAGTGCTTTGATTTATATAATGAAAGAAAACACTAATGACTAATTAACAAGGTAATATTGATTAGTTCAATCGATCATATGTACACATTATTAACACATGGCATCTAACCATCTCATAGTTAAATATCCGTATCATCGTTATTCGTATGTATTAGTACAAAGTTATAGACTCATTAGTGATTTTTTAAATTTATCTATTTATACATTTTATTAATATAACGTTTTTATAATTTTTACGTGTATGAAAATAAAGATATACTAGTAGATGTTTTAATACGTGTCTTGGGCACTGATCCCGATCAAATGGGGCAAAAAAATACTAAAGAATTGAGGGAATAATATTTTTGTAGATGAATGTACAACACAAAAACACACACGGATCACCACTCTCAACCATAGATTAAAAAATCAATGGTTAGATTCTTTCTCCCACAACACACACGAATCACCACTCTCAACCATAGATTAAAAAAATCAATGGTTAGATTCTTTCTCCCACAACACAAACAGATAACCATTCTGAACCATAGATTAAAAAATCAATGGTTAGATTTACATGAAACCCTTTCACTCTCACTCTCACTTTACCACTCACGAGCTCACGGCGCCTTTCATTCTCACGGGCTCAGCGCCTCTCCGTCTCCCTCATACATTCATTCACGGTGGACCTTGAAGCTGTCCTGATTCTGCCTCTCTCTCATCGGTGTTTGCTGCCCTAAATCTCCAAATTCAGGTAACCACTCTCTCTTTCTCGATTTTAATTGATATTTTTTGTTGGTATGAATTGGTTTTTTTTTTTATTTTTTATTATTTATATTCTGTATATGTATTTCTTGTAATGCATGGCAATTGAAAATGTAAATTTGGGGATGAATGGATGATAGTAACAGTATATAAAAGATGGCCAAGTTGTTGATTTTATATATATAAATGAATAAATTGACTGAAAGTGTTGAAGAATGGGGTTTTGTTTATAAGGAATTAAGGATATATAACTTATTACATGCAGTATTATGAGTTTTTGTGCTCCAGCTGCTATAGCAAGTTTTATACAAGGTGGCTGGCTTCATTGTCTCTAGGTGACTAAATGCTCTGTTTTGCCGGCGATTTTTAAAAGTTTATTAAGCACATTATTGCCTGAACTTTGGTTTATTCATACAAAATTAACACACTGTTTTGTTCAGTACATTTCTATTAGTTGCTGCTGTGAAATATTAAGGTGAAAATTAATTAAATTAATTAAATTGACACTTTGTATTATCCCTGATCAGATAAAATGGCCATCTATATGTATCAATATGTGGCCTAGTATTGATTTTCTTTCAAATGTGGTATGACTGGTATCAAACTATCAATAGTGCTAAAATAATAAGAATTCTGGTCAGTTTTGAATATATACCATGTTCTTTGCTGATGAGTTGACATATAATGGAATATGGTTTGCTCAACTACATCCACTTATGATGAAATGTGTTGTTTTGTTTCTGTTTTTTTAGTAATGGAGCAAGGGTTTGGAAATTATGATGAGCAACCAATATTCAGCAATCCCATGATATATTGTTTGAATTTGGATGTTTCTGCTTTTCTTTGGAAATAATGGTGGCATTCATAATCAGAAATCTTTCGCAAGACATGGAGAATGAACTTTCTAAATTAATGTTGATAATAAGCGAGTTCTGTTGGTTCCATTATACTGCAATTTACAAATTATCAGGGCTATGCTCAATTGTATTTATCGTGGAATATTTTCAATAGTCAAATTATAGTTGAATCTGAATTAAAACATAGCCTAATAGTATATTTATGTCAGTAGCACACTCTCATCTTTATTTCATTATTACTCACAGAATCAATGTAATCATATGCTTAATAGTCTCTGTGAATTAATTTTATTTATTACGCCTTCAGTCAAGCCTTGGTACTTAATATTACAAGCTTTTTGTTCATTTGGTTTCATCACCTCAAATGTATACATGACTAGAGGCAGTAGTGTTGCTAATAGTTTGAGGCAAGGCCTGAGCCTGCTTGTTTTGCTCTTGTTTGTGAACACTGATTATCCTTAATGAATGATTTGCTTTGCTATTTAAAAAAAAAATATATTCTAAGATTTCTAATATTTAATCCATTTAATTATATTCTCGTAAAAAAAAAAATCCATTTAATTATATAAAAAAGTTTGTAAACGGTTCGATTTAGAATCGGTTTGGTTCATAAACGGTTCGGTTTATAACCAGTTCGATTTACAATCAGTTCGGTTTTTAAATGGTTCGGTGCAAACGGGTAGCAGTTTGCTAACGGTTCGGTGTAAGCGGTTTTTTTGACAGTTTAAACGGTTTCGGGTTGGAACCGATTTCAGGTTAGATATGGTTCGGTTCTTTTTCGGTTCGATTTTCTTTCAGTTCGGTTTATATTTGGTTCGGTTTGTTAACGGGTTCGGTTCTTATACGGTTTAACATTATTCGAGTCGATTTGGTTTCGGGTTTACTAAAATACGGTTCGGGTCGGTTTTCGGTTTCAAAAAAAATCGATTTTTAATCGGTTCGGTTCTCATTTGGATCGGTTGGTTTCGGTTTGAAATTTGACAGCACTACAAAGGACAGATATATCAAAGCCTACTAAATTACTAGTAGTATAATTTAATCGTCCATGATAGATGTTGCACAATAAACTCCTATGGCAACTATCTTTTTTTTTTTTTTTTGGTTATTTTCCTTATTTTTCGTTTGGCTACCTTTTATTATTTTTGATTTGTTTTTCATAGTGGGAAGACAAAAAGACTTGCGTGGACCTGGTCCACAATAATATTATTGTGGATCCGAGATCTATACACATGCAACTGACATTATATTGAACAAAGTGACCATTATTTTTAACATAGTAACCTTATTTTTTTACCTAGTAACCCTTATTAAAACTACTACAACGTTTAATAATATTGTGAACTTGAAATATGACGCTATTACCCTAATTTTAACATAGTGGCCTTTATTATTCATATTGATCAGTATATAAAATATTTCATTACAAAAATAACCACTTAGGCATATATATTACCAAAATGATTTTTATTTCAATATAGTGACCTTTTTTTTAATTATAGTGACCCTTTTTTTTATTAATAAAACAACCATACTTTCTCTAATGTTAGTGGTCCACAATAAATTAGTGTGAACCAGGTCCATTTAAGAATTTGTAGTGGGAAGAAGCTAAGATTGTCTGAAAGATTGGAAAGAAGTTTACTAACATATATATTCCATATGTTCTTAAATAGTAATTGACACGTTTGATTTTTTCGTTATACATAAACTAACTTTGACCTATTTTTTTTAATATCGTATAAAACACAAATTTTATCTTAAGATATACTATTAAATAGGTATTAATATAAAGTTTTATAATATTAACTTGTTATATTTTTTTATTAATATTGATGATATTTATATCTAAGAT